AGGAGGAGTAAGAGTAGGAGGGGGAAGAGGAGTAGGAGGAGGAGGAGGAGGAGGAGGAACCAGAGGAGGAGGAGGAGGAGGAGGAGGAGGAGGAGGAGGAGGACAGGAGGAGCAGGAGGAGGAGGAGGAGGAGGAGGAGGAGAACGAGGAGGAGGAGGAGGAGGAGGAGGAGGAGGAAGAGGCGGACGGGGACGAGAGGGTGGAGCCGTATTCCAGGCTTTCGTCCAAGACCGTGTCAGGAGGGACGGCTCTGGAGCCCGGGCCTCTCTAGTCAGTTGTGTCGCGAGGCGCCATCCCCCCGGCCTAGGGGGCCTCCTTTGATAGACCATCGCGGTGCGGGCTGAGGGCAAGCAGGCGGGTTTAGGACGAGGAAAAAGGCGTTCAGGAACGATCTCAGAGCGTTCCGGAACGCTCTGAGGAGGCCGCGGCGCCCGAGGCATCTTCCAGAGCCGCCCCGGATCTCAGAGATATTCACGATTCATCCTCACCCGATGTTGTCTTCGTCTTGGCTTCGTCGCAGGCAGCACTCGTGGGGGCCAGCTCAGAGCGGGACACATTGCAGGGTCCATCTCGATCCGATCGGTCCCGGTCGATGTTGATCCCGGCCCGCCCAGTCTCATTGCATTTCGATCTCCCGCCGATCCGATGCGACCCGATCCTCACGTGGCGTTGTTGTGCATTCTGGCGCAGCCGATCCGATCCGATTTCGGCTGCGTGCCCATGCGGTCCGATGCGGCGCACGATCCACGAGGATCCGAGTTGCCGCCTCGGTGCTGACTCGGCAATACCTCGCCGACTGGTCGGCGGTGGGCCCCCGACGGCGAGCCCGCACGCTCCTGGGCGGGGCGGGTCGGCAAGCCCCCGTCGGCGGTCAATGGGCAATTGGGGGCCGACGCATCCCTCCTGAGCCTGAGGAGGAGGAGGAGGAGGAGGAGGAGGAGGAGGAGAACAATAAGAACGAGAAGGATGAGCAGGAGGGGCCAGAGGAGGAGGAGGAGGAGGAGGAGGAGGAGGAGGAGGAGGAGGAGAACAACAAAAACGAGAAGGATGAGAAGGAGGGGCCAGAGGAGGAAAAGGAGGATGATGATAAGGACAGCGGCATCAGCACGTCGACCAGGAGGGCGGAAGGTCTGGTCCACGCCACCCGGGGACGCACCAAAAATTTGTGGGAATTGCCTTTCGTGTTGGCTTACGGTGAGACGTGGAGGGCCCAGAGGGATAGTTGTCGCCATAGGGCTGGACGGTGCACTGGATGGAAGGAGTTCGTGAACGATTTGTGCAGGCGGTGGCATCTTCCGCAGGTGTCGGCTGCCCCTGGCCCCTGAGCCAACGGCGCCGCAGGCCACTCGCCGGGACCAGCGATGGAGCACCGCCACGTCGACGACATGCTGGCACACAAGCTTTTCACCAAGGCGGGGTGTGGCAGACGGACAGCTGCCAGGCCCGGGTGGTGGTTGATTTAGGGGGCCGCATGCGAGCCCTACCCCTGCCCCCCACCCTCCCCCTCAGAAATCGCGGGGGGCAGGGGTAGGGTTCGCATGTGGCCCTCCATGATTGCCAGCTCCTTGCCAACGTCGTGACGGGCCGCGCGCAGCTGCAGGGCGATGGGATCCAGCCGCTGTTCGTGAGGATGGGGAAGGTCGTTGCGAGCTGGTGCAAGAGGGGAATCAGACCTTCCAGTGACCGCGAGCCCCTTGTACAGTGGCGTCCGCGGGATTTCAACTCTGTCGCAGACCAGCTCGCTAATATGGCGCTCGACTCAGCCGGGCCATTCGTTATCCGTTCAGGAGCAGGCGCGGGAGATCATCGGAACATCCAGCTCCACACCGATGGTGGGGTGCGTGCCGGCCAGGGGGCGATAGGTTGGGTCATATATGCTGTCGATGCCAGAGGGGACGGCCAGCCCCACTTTCGCCCAGCAGCGTGTGGTTCACATCATCTGGGGCCTTGGGCTTCACCGTTCCATGCAGAAACTATCGCGCTGGAGACGGGGCTTGCGGAAATGATGAAGTACTTTTGAGGCCATGTGCTATGTTTCTCGTATCCATGTTGAGTAACCATTTAGAATCAGCATTAGTCCACTGTGGCGCTGACGCTGTTTGCTGCCGGGGAGGTACAGGGGACGCCAGGGCGTAACCGCTTGCAAAGAAAAGAAACATATGATGATAAGGATGATAACGCTGCTGCCCCTGAGTTGATTGACGTGGACGTCCGGGCCCGCCGGGCCCCGCCGGCAGGTGGTGGTCCTGGCGCGGCCCGACGCGCGGATGTCGTCGCTGATGTACTTGCCGGAGGAGCTCTCGGGCGGCGGTCGCGCGGGCAGGGAATTGAGTGGGGGGGGGGGGAAGGGGAAAGGGAGCGGGGACGAGGGGGAGGAGGGGGGGAGAGGGAAGGGATGGGGAGGATGAGGAGGAGGAGGAGGAGGCGGCGGAGGCGGAGGAGGAGGAGGAGGAGGCGGAGGAGGAGGAGGAAGAGGAAGAGGAGGGTGAGGAGGAAAGGGAAGGAGGAGGGAAGGAGGGAGAGAGGGAGGAATGGGGAGAAAGAGCAATAACGCCACAACTAAAGAGGGAAAGAGAGAAAGAGAAACCAAAACATAAAATAGACAGGGGGAGAGAAAGAAGAGGTAGGGCAGAAAAGGAAAGGAGAGGAAGGAGGGCGGAGGGGTGTGGGGAGGGGTGTGGGGAAAAGAGGACCCTGGGAGAGAAGAAGGAGGGTGGTCGAATAAGAAGAAGCTGCGCAAACGTAGGCATTCGAAGGTCCGCGGGTATCTTGAACTGGCGCTGGACCCTGGCGCGGGCTTTCAGAAGTGGGCGTGTATGCCGAGTTGCCTTCTAGAGGAGGGGGAGGAGGAGGAGGACGACGGTGACGACGAGGAGGACGACGAGGAGGAAAACGACGACGAGGACGAGGAGGAGGAGGAGGAAAAACAGGAGGGGGAGGAGGAGGAAAAGGAGGAAAAAGAGGCGTCAGCAGTGGCACGGGGAGGGCTCTGGGCGGTTATTTCTTCCCTTCTTCGTAGTCTTTCCCCTTGTCCCTTCCTTCCAGCCTTCCTCTCTTCACCTGCCTTCGGGGCTGCACGAAATGCGCATTTCAGGTAAAAAAGATGTACCTCCAAGGGGGTGCAATCGAAAACGAAGAGGGCGGGTATCGAGGGTGTGGGATCAACGTGTTAAGTGGCCCGCGAGCAAATAAGAGCGAACATGTTGAAAATGATGTTGTTGTGGCTGTTGTTTTTACCCGCTCTCTCTCTCTCTCTCTCTTTCTCTCTCTCTCTCTTGTTCTCTCTCTGTCTCTCGTTCTCTTATGTATATATATATATATATACATGTTCCCCTCTCTCTCTCTCTCTTTACTCTGTTTGTTATTCATCTATATATATATATATATATATATATATATATATGTGCGTATACATAAACGAATGTCCTTACACATATCTATGTATATATGTGTATATGTATATGTATATGTATGTCTGTATGTATATGTATATACATCTGTGTGTGTATTCATACATCGCACAATCTCCCCGAACTATGTTTGTACATAGGGCGTTTTATTTCTGCACATGGAGCTGGGCATGTCTGTCTGTCGGTCTGGCGGTTCTGTTGTCGCCGTCGCCGCCCCGTCTCCGTTTCGTTGCCGACCGTCATCTGGGCCTATCCGTCGGTCTGGCGTTTATTTTATCACCGTCGCTGCTACGTTTCCGCCTCGTCCGTCGCCGCTTTCGATTCTCATTTGTGAAGGAAGAATAGACTCTACCCCCCCCCGTCCGAGTTAACGGACGGCCCCCTGGGGTATTGCAATTTCACATTTATTCTGCACATTCGTCCATCCTAAACATGAGTTCGTACTATCCCAGCCAGGCCGATATCGTTCCTCCCCCCTGCAACCCCTGTCAAATCATGTTATGCGCGCGCACTTCTTTATCTGAGGAAATCAAATTTCAATAACCCCCTGCAGAAAAAAAATCATCACGCGCGCGTCCATGTCGAGATCGTACCACACACAGTGTGTTTGCAAGCGTGTCAGCATAACATCCTTTTTGAACCAAGCCAGCGCTTTGCAACACAAGTTTTGCAAATGTCCTGTCCGCGCGCTCATGCTAAAATCAGACAGCAGCCATAGGATTCTTATCACCTCTGCCAAATCCAGCGATTTCGTGTCACCGCGCGGTGCACCCGCGATGCTCCTCTCATGCGCCGAGGGCGCGGAAATCCCTTGCAAAAACAGCACGCGGGCCACATGCGCGCACCGCCGCGCGCGCATGATCAGTCTGACGGATCGGTTGAATGCTGATGCCATCTTCGTCATTGTCGCAGACGTTGCCGACGTCATCTTGTCATCGCGCACGTCCGAGTATCGTCGGTATGCTCACCTTCATCATCGACTCACGGTGGTGAGCACCGGCAGCGAGGATGTGATCATCGATGTCGTCATCGGCGGCGCCGCCGCCCCCCGCATCATGAGTTTTGCCAAACAAGTTGCGGGTGGGTGGATTGGACGTTTGCGCGAGCAGTGGGGATGGCGATTTCAAGTTCAGCAGAGTGGAGTGCACAGCGTAGATTCTCCTTTCTGAATTAAAAATAGAACAGCCTCTACCCCCCCCCCCGGCGTTATCCGCCCGCCTTTCGCGTACGTAAATCATATATGATTCTGACCACGTGCCCATCTTACAGATGAGTTTACACTATCCCACAGGGGGCGGTATCGGTCCCCCTGAGGTTCCGTTGTGCAAAACAATACGCGGGGACATTTTTTGTTTTACCATAAGATTCGTTCACGAATCCCTAACAACAAACGGGACGAAGTGCACACGCGCGCGTCGCCGCGCGCGCATGCCGAAATTCTGCAACAAAAATTTTGGTGTCGGAAGGATTTCGCAATCGGGTTCCCAAGAAACATACAAACACAGGGTTTCGCAACACTGATTTGTTAAAAAAAGGTTACGCGCGAGCTCTTGCGAAATCCTCCGAAAAAACCATAGGTTTTTCAATCTTTTCATAGCATGCTACCAAAGGGGCTTCGCGCGCGCATGTCGAAATATGTCGAACGCCCTTGCGCGTGTGCCGTCGCGAACAACCTTTGCAAAACAACGGGACGAAGTGCAGACGCGCGCGTCGTCGCGCGCGTATGCCGGAATCCTTTCAAAACCCATCGGTTTCGGATGGATTTCGACAAATTGTATCCAAAAAACATACAAAAAACACAAGGTTTCGCAACACGGATTTTCAACAAAAGCGTGCGCGCGCGCTCTTGCGTCGTCGCCGTCGTCGTCGCCGTCCTCCCTCCTCCAGCGTCGTCGTCGTCGTCGCCTACGTCGTCCTCTGTCTTTCCTCGTGTTCGTCGTCGTCGTCCTCTTTGGTGTCGTGTTCGTTTCCGTCGTCGTTGTCGCCGTGGTCGTCCTTCCTCCTCCTCCCTCGTCGTCGTCGTCATCGTCTGTCGTCGTCGTCTGTCGTCGGCGTCTCGTCGTCGTCCCTCCTATTTCGTCGCCGTCGTCGTCGTCATTGTCGTCGTCGTCTTCCCTCATCCCTCGTCGTTGTCGTCGTCGGCGTCGCCGTCCTTCCTCCTTCTTCTTCGTTCGCGTCGTCGCCGTCCTCCCTCCTCCCTCGTCGTTGTCGTCGTTGTCCTCGTCGTCGCCGTCGTCGTCCTCCCTCCTCCCTCCTCGTCGTCTTCGTTTTCGACGTCGTCGTCGCCTTCGTTGTCGTCGTTGGCGTTTGCGTCGTCGTCGTCGACGTCGGCGTCGTCGTCGTCGCCGCCGTCGTCGTCGTCGTCGTCGGCGTCGTTGACGTCGTCGTCGTCGTCGGTGTCGTCGTTGTCGTCCTCGTCGGCGTCGTCATCGTCGTCGTTGTTGTCATCGTCGTCGATGTCGTCGTCGGCGTCGTCGTCGTCGACGGTGTCGTCGTCGTCGTCGTTGTCGGCGTCGTCGAAGTCGTTGGAGACGTCGTCGGTGTCGTCGTAGTCGTTGTCGGCGGCGTCGTCGTCGTCGTTGTCGCTGTCGTCGTCGGCGTCGCTGTCGTTGCCAAGTGCCATTTGGTACCCACCGTCACGGTCTTAAGAGATTTTGCAAACCAAGTTGCGGGTGGGCGGGTGCGATGTTTGCGCGAGCAGCGGAGTGGACAATTCACTGCGAACAGAAATTATTTCCACAACATAGCTTGCAACACAAAGACTGCACCGCATAGAGGGCACCGCATGAGCTGCACCCTGTGATTCATACAACATATTTTTCTCTTTCCAGAAAGAAGGACTCTACCCCCCCCCTGGATTTATCGGTCCACCTTTTCGTATTGCAATTTACACATGGTTCTGCCCCATCGTCCATCCGAAATATAAATTCTTACAATCCCAGCTGAGCCGGCATCGACCCCCCCGCCATCCTCCGCAAAACACTATGCGCGCACATTCGCTTATCAAAAATCCGAAGTGCTCAAGAATCCCTTGCACAAGAAAGGGACGAAGTGCGCGCGCACGCGTCGTCGCGCGCGCGTGCCGGAATCCTTCAAAAAGCTTCGGTCCCGGAAGGATGTCAAAATCGAGTGTCCCAAAAACACAAAGACACATGGTTTCGCAACACGTTTATATATATATATATATATATATATATATATAATGGCGCGCGTTCCTGCGAATTCTTGAAAAAAAACAATTGTTTTTTCAACGTCTTCTGGAAATATCACCCAACGGGCTTCGCGCGCGCGCCGAGATCGTTCGAACGCTTCTGCGCTGATGCCGTCGCGAGCGAGAACCCTTTTCGCGAAAAAGCGGGGCGAAGTGCACGCGCGCGCGTCGTCGCGCGCGCGTGCCGGAACCCCCAAAAAACCGTCGGTTTGTTCGCGTCTCAAAACCGAACATCCAAATCACATTCAACAACACGCGGTTTCGCAACAGCAGCTTTCCAAAAAAGGTCGCGCGCGCGCGAGTGCGAACTTGTTGCACAACCACCAGTTTTTTTTTCTAAATTCTCATGGGATTCTGCCAAGCGAGTTTCTGGCGCCGCATGCCGACAGCAGTCGCGCGCTTTTGCGCGCGTGCTGGGGGGGGGGGGGGGCGATCCGCGTCGGATAAATCCACGAGGGCCACTCTCGCGCGTCGGCCGCACGCGCGTGTCGAATTTTTCCAAAACCTTCATCGCCGACGCGAGGGCGCCGTCAGATGAGTCATCGTCGCCGGCGTGATCAGCATCGGCGCCCGCGCTGGCCGCGCCTTCGTCTGTGCGAACATCGTCACCAGCGTCGCCGCTATCATTGTCGCGTCTACCGTAGTCGGCGTTGCCATGGTACGGCGCCGCGCC